TCAACTTCAGCAACTTTAAGATGGGTGGACTTCAACTCCCAGAATTCCCCAGCCAGCCATGTGTTTCTCAACCTTGGCAGCTTTAAGATGCGTGAACTTCATGTTGGCTGGGGAATTCTGGGAGTTGAAGTCCACTCATCTTAAAGTTGCTGAGGTTGAAGAACCCTGCCATAAGGTACCAAGAGCCACATACGGCTTTATAGGTCAAAACCAGCACTCTGGATTGCACTTGGAAGCATCCTGAAAAACCATGCAGTAATTTGAGCACCACCTGCTAAAAGCCTGGCCACTGCATTTTGTACTAATTGCTGTTTCTGAATCATTTTCAAGGGTAGACCCATGTAGATCTCATTACAATAATATAACCTCCTGGTGAAAAGGGTATGAGTCACTGTTACTAAGGCGACAGATAGGTCCACAACTGGCACCCCCTCCCCATGGTTCCCACCTGCAGTTCCAGAGGAACTGCACGTCCAGGAGGATCCTCAAGTTGCAGACTTGCTCCTTCAGAGGGAAGCGACCCCATTCAGAACCAATGCTGGTACAATCTTGAAGCCAGAACGTTTCTGGATGAACAGTAACTCTTGCTGGGATTTGATCAGAGCTTATTTATACCCATCCATACTCTCACAGCCTCCAGACCTTGGATCAGAACTTCCACAGCATCTCCAGTTTAGCCTGGGGTGGTAACACACAATTAAGTATCACCAGTGAACTGATGATACCTCAGCCTAAACTGACTGAGGACCTTTCCCACTTGGCAAGGCTGTAAAACAACAACTGGCTGAACCCAATGAGCTTCATGGCTGAGCAGGAATCTGAAGTCTGATCTTCTGAGTCATAGTCTAACGTTCTTCCCTCTGTCTCTCTCCTCATATACACACACAATTTTCTGATGCAAACCCATTGATTAAAATGTATACATTTTTTTTTAAATGGTTCTATCTTTTTCTAGTTAAATTTAGCAACCTTCCTACATGGACAAAAATGGCCTAGAGGCAGACTCAAACCTGCATGTTCATGGCTTGCTAACTAGAAATCAAGGAATGACCTGGATTTGGACCTGCTGGAATCACCAATTGGTTTTTGGGCCATTTATGGTACAGGGGCTAAAGCATTGGATTAGGATCACATGCAAACCAAGTGAGGCTTCCTGGAGGACATTTGACCAGTAGTTTTTTCTCAGATCAAATTCCCAGGATTTTGAGTTGGAAAAGTTGGTGGAAGTACAACACTATGTGCTCCTCAAGGAAAGGCAAGAAAAAATCTACAAAATAATAAATTGGCAGTAGTGGCTGTATAACTCTTCCATAATCCCTTAGGGACATTTGGGGATATTGAAATGGGTTTGCAGACCCAGATACTGGGGAGATGTGTTAGTGTCATGTACAAAATCTCAGCAAAGTCTTAGATGCTCTGCTTCTTTGGACTGAGGCACCACTGAAGTTTCAGTTGACGGAGAAATCTGACCTGACTTTACATTCTCTAATTGTGAGATGGCAGTTCCCCAATAAAAATGCATGTAGTGAGGGAAAACATACACAGAAGTGTGCATATTCACTGAAAATAAACATAAATGTAGTGCATTGGGGGAAAAAAACTTTCTCAAAAACACATTAAGGAAAAGGAAACACAGATATTAGAAGAAATGTATACAAGGATGCATAAAGCTGTGTGTGAACTGTTTGGTTTCAATTCTTAAACTGATGCAAAAATAAGAGAAATTAAACTGGAAAATGATGGGGAAGATGAGAAATTGAGGAAACTAAAACTGCTTTATTTGTACATTCATAATGGAGGCTTAAAACAGATGTAACTTCAGCTGCTAACCATGGGCTTGCTACATTAACCCTGCAACATATGGAAACACAACACATTTGCCACCTGGGTTGGTTTAGTTATTTGTAGAATTAACAGAGCAATTAGTAACTCAGATGGATGATTGCCACATGCAAACATGTTGGGTGCATTTTAAGGTGTTGAACTAGGGCTGGGAAGATCTAGGTTCAAATCCATGACTTTGGACCAGTCACTCACAGCCATGGGGAAAAATCAGAGGTGTTCAAGGTATGTCACCTTGAGGTGCTGAAAGAATGGCAGGTTATAAGGTTAATAAAATAAATATAACAAATGCAATAGCCCTTCTACCTAAAACGCCGTTAGTCATAGTAGATTGTATTCACTCATTAGGTTTATCTGGCTGAGGCCTTCCATTGTTACTTTAGCTCTTCTGCTTACCTTGTGGTACTTTGTAAATCTGTGTGCAGCACTCCCCTAAATGCCTTTCCCTACATATTAACTTTCCACGTGGAACCATTAAGATGTCAATGTTAACACACCGATCCATTTCTCCTCCATTTCATCAAAGATATCCAGTTGAGGATTCCTTCTGCTCAACAACCCTGCAAAGGAGGATTTCACCCTTACAACAACCCTGCGACGTTGGACAGGCTGAGACCAAGGTGGCCGAGGGACCTCCCCGTGGATCCAGAAGCCCGCTTTCTCCCCGCTCCCTAGCCTAGGATCTGTCACCCTGCCAATCCCACTAACATAACCTCTACGGCTCGGTCGCGACCAGCGACGCCCATCGACGGCCGGCGCGCCAAGTCTACACGCAGAAGCAGGCAGGGCAGCGTTGCTGAGAAGCGCCCGTCAACACCGTGGGCAGTCGGCGCGGGGCAAGGGCGCGCGGGGCTGGGCACGTGCGGCGCCCTCCCTGCAGTAGCCCGCTTCCAATCCCGAGCAGGCCTAACCTTTGAGCCCGAAAGGGGCGCGAGCGGGGCAAGACCCGGCGGGTCTTTGGAGGCGACGAGACTACTCCCCCGCCCCCGCGACGAGGCCACGCAGCAGCAGCCGCTCCCCGCCGCCGGTGACCCTTCCGTAGAAGCCGCGGACGGCTCCGCGAAGGAAGGAAGGCAGGAAGGCAGGAACCGCCGAGGAAGAGCGCCTCGGCGTTCGCCTCCAGCTCCGCTGCTGGGCGGAAAGCAACAGTACGCGTAGCGGGCGGAGAGTCTGGGCTGGGAGCGGCGGCGGCCAGAGGAGGGGTTTGCGGCTCGGCGTCGCTGCAGAAGTGTCGGCCTCTCGGGGAGCTGCCCCTGTGTATATGTGTGTGTGTTTGTGTGTGTGCGCGCGCGCGCGCGCGGCGGAGTGACTTG